TGTATAAATCACACAAAATAGTCTTTATTTATGCACAGGTAAATACATGTAAAACTATGTGTTTAGAAGGACACACCCAGCTTCAGAACACAGGCAACTGGGAAAAAGAGAAATGAGAAGAGGGTAATAACAAAAAACTCAATGTTATCTGTCATGTTCTCTTTACTATAAAGTTAACGCTCTGAAGCAAAACATAACAGAGTGACAACATTCTTACATTAAGTTCACAGATCCCTGTCCTACGGTTTTTGTAAAATATTTTCTAAATCATATGTAAAGATGAACTAACATTGCAAAGAGACTGAAAACAGATGTTAGCCACACAAAAAAAACTCATAGTATCTATAATGTTTCATAATAGGCTACAAAAACTATGTGACCTTTCTATCCATCTTCCAGCCCAATTTAAATGCTGCTCTTCAGTACAGTCATTCAAAACAATAACAGGAACATGAGTTTTCTACAGGAAGCTTCATTCTACCGTTGACACCACAGTTCTGCGTTTACAAAGGACCATGCTAGTGTCCCACTAGAAAGCTTATTTTCCAGTAGACAAAAAAAATTACAAGTTTTCCTCAAATCTTCTAATACGCATCTGAAATGATAAAGTCAACTACCTTACTAAACTGTGGACTATCCACTGTTGTTCATCACCTGTGGTAAACTTTTTGATAAAAATTCTGCTTTTAGCCTCTTTAATAAATGGTGCTGGGAAAACTGGACAACTACATGTAACAAATGAAATTAGAACACTTCCTAATACCATACACAAAGATAAACAAAATGGATTAAAGACCTAAATGTAAGACCAGAAACTATAAAACTCTTAGAGGAAAATACAGGCAGAACAGTCAATGACATAAATCAAAGCAAGATCCTCTATGACCTACCTCCTAAAGTAACAAATAAAAACAAAAGTAAACATGCGGGACCTGATTAAACTTAAAAGCTTCTGCACAGCAAAGAAACTATAAGCAAGGTGAAAAGACAGCCCTCAGAATGAGAGAAAATAATAGCAAATGAAACAACTGACAAAGGACTAATTTCCAAAATATACAAGCAACTCATACAACTCAATACCAGAGAAGCAAACCACCCAACCAAAACGTGGGAAAAAGACCTAAACACACATTTCTCTGAAGAAGACATACAGATGGCTAACAAACACATGAAAAGATGCTCTTTTTTTGCTCATTATTAGAGAAACACACATCAAAACTACAATGAGATATCACCTCACACCAGTCAGAATGGCCATCATCAAAAAGTCTACAAACAATAAATGCCGGAGAGGGTATGAAGAAAAGGGAACGCTCTTGCACTGTTAGTGGAAATGTAAATTGATACAGTCACTATGGAGGATGGTCTAGAGATTCTTAAAAAAACTAGGAGTAAAACCACCGTAAGACCCAGCAACCCCACTCCTAGGCATATGCCCTGAGGAAACCAAAGCTGATAAAGACACATGTATCCCATTGTTCTCTGCAGCACTATTTACAATAGCTTGAACAAGGAAGCAACCTAGATGTCCATCTACAGATGAATGGATAACGAAATTTGGTACGTATACACAGGGAATATTACTCAGCCACAAAAAGGAACACATTTGAGTCAGTTCTAATGACGTGGATGAACCTAGAACCTATTATACAGAGTGAAGTGAGTCAGAAAGAGAAAGATAAATACTGTATTCTAATGCATATATACAGAATCTAGAGAAATGGTTCTGAAGAATTTATTTATAGGGCAGCAATGGAGAAATAGACATAGAGAAAAGACTTATGGACATGGGGAGAGGGGAGGAGAGGGTGAGATGTATGGAAAGAGTAACATGGAAACTGACATTACCGTATGTAAAATAGACAGCCAACAGGAATTTGTTGTATGGCTCAGGAAACAGGGGCTCTGTATCAACCTAGAGGGGGTGACATGGGGAGGGAGATGGGAGGGAGGTTCAAACGGGAGGGGATATATGTATACCTATGGCTGATTCATGTTGAGGTTTGACAGAAAACAACAAAATTCTGTAAAGCAATTATCCTTTAATAAAAATAAACAAAAGCCTAAAATAAATTTTTTAAAAAATTCTGCTTTGTAATGATTTTATGTTTATAGTAGAGTTGCCAAGGTACTGCCCAGAGTTCCCACATATCTTCCACTCAGTCCCCTCTAATATTGATACCTGGCATAACCATGTTACACTTGTCAAAACTAAGAAATTAACACTAGTACATTACTATTAACCAAACCACTGACTTTATATCTGTTTCATAGTTTTTCCACTAACATCCTTTTTCTATTCCAGAATCCAATCCAGGACATCACAAAGCATTCATCACCATGTCTCCTTAGTCTCTGCTCAACATCAGTTTCTTAGGCCTTCCTTGTTTTTTTAATGACCTTGAAATTTTTGAAAAGTACTGATCAGATATTTGTAAAATGTTCCTTAATTTGGGCCAGTCTGATGTTTTTTTCTCACAAATGGATTGCAATGATAGGTCTGGGGGAAGAATAAATACCAGAGGCTCATCAGACACATGATATCAACATAATTTATTACTGACGATGTTAGCCTTGATCACTTGGTAAAGGCAGCATTTGCTGAGTTTCTCCACTGTCAAGCTGCTATTTTTCTCTTCCATCTATTCTTTAGTCCAACCCACACTTGAAGGATACTTGGGGGTAGGGACAGTATCTACAAATATTACTTGGAATAATTCTGTAAGATTTATCCTTTTTATTCCATTATTTATATAACAATCTATTTATATCAGCATTTATTTATTTAGACTCATGAATATCTATCTGCTCTTCAAATACTAGGTTATTTTGCTGCTCAACCAATTTTCCACTTGGCACCTATGTTGCCTTGACATGGGCCATCATTTTGTTTTTTCCAAGTTCTCACTCCTGGCACTACCGGCTGCTCCAGGCTCATCCTATGAAGACCGTGTTGCAGCCACAGGATCAGCCACTCCTCCGAGGAGCCTCCTTTCACTGGAAAATGATATTCTGAAACCAAGAAGTGAGCACTGGGTGTACTCACTGGTACTGGTGTGTCACTGCTTCCAGGCCCGCAGTGGAAGAAGTGAGGAACATATATATGCATGTGTACTGACCGGAGTATAAACACACACATATAAAATTATTTCTGTATGTATCTGTATATATTTTAAATTAAACATGAGTTCACGTTGATGTCTCCCAACTCTGGTCCACCCTGTGGTTCATTTTAATCCCAGATTAAGCTTCCCTCCATCTCCGAGCAAACACAAACAGCATCCTTTACTAGCAAGCAGTTCATTAAACGCAAGTTCTACAATTAGCTGTACTGTAAGAGGACAGGAAAATATATTTTAAGATGGGAGTCCCATGACAGGTCACCTCCACTACTATGACCACATGTCTGCACCGGGACTACCTATCAGCACACAATTAAAAAGAGAACCATATTAATACTTCTTACCAAGTTTTTTTTTTTTTTTAACCACTGTTCTATCACTTCAATATATTTTTCCTAAAAAGCCACTTTCCACCCTTACCTCCCAAAAAAGAGAGAGAGAATGTTGCAGCTTAGTACATACAGACTACAGACTAAAGACAGGCCATTTTAAAAGGAAGAAAACAAAGATATTATGTGATTTTCCTTATATCATTCTACCAACAAAGGCAGGCTTAATTTGACTGTGTTTAAATGCAGTTATTCTACTTCAATTTTGACAGCATCTGCTTTACACTCCACTTTAGATTAGAAGAAAGTCAATTTGTAAAGTAAAAAATAAACAAAAGCTCAATTCCTACTACAGCTTTTCTCAGGTCTTTCAAGGGGTAAAATGTAGTTAGTTCACCTTCTCTAAAACCAATTAACAAAGTATGTGTTCATACTAAGTAAAAGCACAGCTGAGCAAATATTTACTAAGAATTCACACTGCACAGACATTCTAACAACTACTCTGCAAGTTGGACAAACCGAATGAGAGATAGACTCGAGCCTTCCCAGAAGAGCTCACAGCCACAAATTCGTAAGAAGAGGGATGTGGCTGAATTAGAAAACTAATCTAGGAAATAAAGACAACTATAGTAGTGTTAGTTGCTCACTCGTGTCTGACTCTTTGCAACCCCACGATCTATCCACGGAATTCTCCAGGCAAGAATACTGGTGTGGGTTGCCATTCCCTTCTCCAGGGGATCTTCCCAACCCAGGAATTGAACCGGGGTCTCCTGCATTGCAGGCAGATTCTTTACTGTCTGAGATACCAGGGAAGCTCTGGGTTAAGACTATTATAAATGGCATGTAAATATACAGATATCTTTTACTTTTTTTTCACTCCTCTAAACTTCTGAGAACTTTTTTAGTTTGTAATGTATTTAAAAATCTTGATTGTTTTCTGGCAGAAGTGACTAGAACATTATTTAAAAAAGAATGTTTGGTGATAGTTGAAGAGTATCTGTTACTATGAAAGATAACTGCTGCAATGCTGAAATTTTCATTTAAAAAAAAGAATACAAGATTCTCAAAGGGGCTAGAAAAGCAACAAAACCAGTAAGTGTTTTTACTCATACTTGAGTAAAGAGGCAACTATCTCAGATTTCAGTTCAGATTATGTTTTATTAGCGATCCAACCTTGAGTAAACACCATTTAACCTCTCAACCTATATGTCACTGATTTACAATGGGGCTATCGTCAGACCTACTTCCTCCACAAGACTTTCAGGCTTAAATGGAAATGTAGATAGCAAAACTCTTTGCAAATTACAAAGCACTACCTAAATCACAGGTAGACAGATACACATATACACACACACACAGGAGTTTTATAATCCCCCAGGACACCAGGCAACAATAACATTCATTACAGTGATACCTGAGTCTCCAGTTTTTTAAATTCCTCAGACTAAAAATTTATCTAAAATATTTTAGTGTTAAAAATATGTGTATGCATTTCTTCAAGATTAAATCCTATGAAGCAACAGCTAGGAATGTAACTGAGCGTGCTTACCTTAACAAAATTGTCAGGGAACATTCCTCTCCTCCCGTTTAGCTCTCCTTCCAGCCATCCTTCCTCCTGTAGTTTTCTCACGTTCCTGATGATTTCCCCAACTCGAATAGTTAACTCATCATCATGTATAGCATCATAGTCATACTCCACAATATAGTCAACTAAGGGAAAAAAAAAAGAAACAAACATCTGAAAAACTTAACTCATGAAATACTAATCATATTAATAAACTTAAAACTAAGTAACCTATTTAGCAATGATAATATAACAAAGATACCATCAAAGCTTACCTCAGTTTTTAATATTTGGCTACATCAGCAAATTTCAGCAAACTTCTTTTTTTTGCCTAAGTATAATGCACAGTACCAGTGTTAAGGAGAAACCTCAACACAACATACGATGGACCTCATCGGTTATTCTGCCAGTCAGCTATACATCCTTTGTGACAAACTCTAAGGTGGTCCCCACGATACCGATCTCTTGATATTCATGTCCTTGTGTAATTCTCTCTCCTTCAGTGTGAACGTGACCTATGACTGACTTCTAATCAACAGAATATGACAAAGATGACGGACTGTACGTGATGACATAAGGCTGTAATATCCCTTGCTAGGAAACTCTGTCACTTCCTGGCTTTGAAGATGCAAGTTGTTTTGTTGAGCTGGCCCATGGACAGGGCCACATGCAAGGAACTGAGGAAGTCTCATCTCTGGATGAGAGCCCACAAACAACTGAGGGCCTCAGTCCAGCGGCCCACAGGGAACTGAGTGATGCCGACAGCCTCGGGAGCCTGGAAGCAGATCCTTCCCCAGCTGAGAAGCCAGCCATCATCAACACACTGATTGCTGCCCTGCAGAGGACGCAGCCATGCCTGGACCGAAGAGGCCACAAAACCCTGAGATAATAAATGTGACTGTTTTTATCTGCTAAGTTAGTGGCAATATTTTTCACAGAATCGTAGAAAAGGAATACACCCTGAAATGAAGGTTGTTAAGGATTTTAAGGTTATGGGCCAGCATATAAGCACACTATTAACATTTTAACTAGTCATACCTCCATTCATCTTTTCCTCCTATAAGAATGATTAAGGAAAAAGAACACATATACACAACTACACCAAAAAAGGAAAAAGAAAAAGGAAAGGGAGTATGGGCAGACCCTGCTGGCTACCAAACAAACAGCCATCTCCACAGCGACTCCTCCTCCTCCTTCCTTTCTCACTGAATCCTGATTTTCTTCAGGTATTTTGGGACCTTTTACAAGTAAAGCTTCTCTCAGACTCAGAGGGTTAAACTATTCTAGACCAGTACGTTTCAAATACTAACATGCAATCAGGTCATCTTGTTGACCTTGAGAATCTCGCTTAAGCGCAGAGTGAGCAGGTCCTAGGACACCTAACACTTCTGGTCAAGGAGACAAAGGTCTAAAGAGAACTGATTTATAGCGGGGGCTTCCCAGGTGGTTCAGTGGTAAAGGATCCACCTGCCCATGCAGGAGATGCAGGGGACTCAGGGGATGCAGGTTCAATCCTTGGGTCAGAAGATTCCCTAGAGAAGGAAAGAGCAACCCACTCCAGTATTCTTCCCTGGGAAGCCCCATGACAGAGGAGCCTGGTGGGCTAAAGTCCATGGGGCTGCAAAGTGTTGGACATGACTGAGCATGCACACAGTTCACACACAGATCTACGGTAATCTCATTCATATTCTCTCTCTCTCACAAACACACACACACACAGAGACTGGTTTTCAAATACACGTGTGATGGATCGACTCAGACCAATACAATGGAAGTAGGGGTTCTTGAAAGGTTTTATTTGACCTTATAAACAAAACACAAGGAAAGAGTATCCTCCTACAGACTTTGGATATTCTTCATTGAGAATGTAATGGCCAAAACTGCTACAACTAGATGAGACAAGAAAAACAGCAGATATGCTTAGAATACAAGAAAATAAAGATGAAAGTAGCCTGGATCTTTACTAGATTGATCCAACTGCTAAGCTAACCAGCCCTATAACTTTTAGATTTCCTGTTATGGAAGCTGCTTTTTTCTTAACTTTTAAGTAAATTCTAGACGAGATTTGTATTTGCAGCTGAAAACATACCAATCTGAGAAGGGAATTAGCAAGAAACTTAAAATTCCTGAAAATGGATCCATAACTGATAAAGCCAGAGCTCAGAAAACTTAAGGAAACTATAACTTAGACATCAAACTGCTCTGCAGAACCCCAGAAAGGCCAGAAATTAAGAAAAGGAGCACTCATGGGAAATACAGAACTGAAAATGGGGAAATTAACATCTCATGGAAGAGCTGAGACCCATTATTAACCACAACAGTTCTGACACAACAATGTTACATTGGCAGGTATTTTTCTTCAAAGGTAAAATACTTAAGGGTTAATCTCAGACACACACACACACACAGAGTAGTCTGGGGGAACTAGTAAAGCTACTATGGATGAGTGATGGTTTCCTAGAAAAACAACTTCTGATACCCAGAATTTAGAGGTCTCCAGAGCAATGGGCAGTTTCCAACCTACTAACTCTAAAATAAACTAAAAAAATCATACCCATATAAAGAGTTCCCAATTGGCTTTTTGCTTATCATTTATTCATAAATATGAATAGTAGACAACAGTTAACCATGAAAGATGATGATAGACTCAAAAACTACTCCTGGATGAAGCACACACCAACCTCTCCCCTTCCAGAGTAATTCAGGATTAAAGTCATGAGGCACAGAAAAGCACAGCAGGGGAAGGGAGAGCAAGGAGGGGAAGGAGTCTGGGAAGGTGTGACACAGGGACCAAAGCAACGAGAGAGAAGGGACCCAAAGCTAGGGCAGGGGTGGCAGTGATGCCATCAGAGCCAGAGCAGGGTGAGAAGGGTGTCCATCTGTGGCGGTTCCCCGAGTGCACCTATCACAACTCGAAGGCAGGGGGAGGAAGGCATCCCTGCAGAGGCGACGTGATATGGTATGCCAGTACCCGATCACAGCGGTGAGGGCTTCCAAGCTGATGGGCAGCTTGGTGAGGAATATCTGAAGCCACACTGTACTGGGGGTGGGGCCAGATCACCACGCAGAGGAGAGGTAACCTAGAGGGAGCGTGGAGGTCACCCAGAACAGGTCTAACAGCCTGTGCAGGAGAAGAGGGTATCCATATACGCATGGGGATGACTGGTTACATCTAGGGGAACTGATCAAATAAGAAAGTAAGTTAAGGACAATGGAAGCCAAGTTTCTCTATGAAAGGAAGGGCGTTACAGACATAATGGGAAAAGACGTCACTTAATCCTATGATATTAAATGGGAATGAAAGTATCACCATGAACTCACGGTTTTCAATACACAGACATTCACATATACATACAACACAAATGTACCACACATGCATACAAGCTCTATCCACTGAAAGGGCCTGAAACCACCACCTCTCAATGAGCAAACCTAATGCTAAGATCTTATAAAAACCACTTTCTACTGAAAGGAAGCAGGAATCCTTGGGAAGATATGCAATTCCAGGGCTTAGGCAGGAAAAGTACAAGATAAACCTGGAACTGGTGTTGTGCTAGAAAGCAAGGAAGTTCTCAAAGAAAGATAAGCTGATGTCCAAGAACACAGAGAAGTAATATCGGAACAGATCCTACTGGCCAAGTCAAGACAATCTGAGCATCAAAATCAATGATGAAAAAACTAAACTAAAATAAATGATAGTGTAACAATATACCCCACTGAATAAAGCAAAAAAACCATGAGTCCACACATATATAAATAAATGTTAATTTCTTACATTTTATAATTGAACTGTGATTAAGTAGAAGATCCTGATCTGTAGAAAACACTAAAATTTTCCGGAGAAAAGCATCAGTCAGGAAAAAATTCTTTGTATTGTACTTTAAACATTTCTACAACTAAATGTCTAAAAATTTTAAAAGATTTAAACATGTACAAATTTTTACCCTCAAGAGATGTAATAAAGTTCCTAAAATCAGAACAGAATGTTATGAAAAAAGAAACATGAAAATAAAAAGCATTTGGAAATGTATCTTCCAACAAGTTTTATTAATTTTTTTTGCAAAGGTAGAGACAAACAAAACCAAGAAAATTTTATCAAAACAGGTAAAGAGACATAAAGAAAATATAAAAGAACAGACAAGACACAGATGAAATTCAACATCCAAATAACAGTTCTAGGGAAAAAAAGAGAAAAGACAATGAAATAATAGAAGAAAATATTCCAAAGCTATAGGAAACAAATCTTCAAGTAGAAAGAGGTCTATGAGAGTCCAGTACAATAAAAAAATTAAAAAGTGACTACTTGGGGGTGGCGGGGGTGAACTCAGAGATTGGAACTGACATACTACACTACTGATACTATATACAAACAGACAGCTAATGAAAACCTACTGCACAGCTCAGGGGACCCTACTCAACGCTCTGCTGTGTTGTGTTTAGTTGTTCAGTCATGTCTGACTCTTTGCAAACCCATGGCTGTAGCCCGCCAGGTTCCTCTGTCCATGGAATTCTCCAAGCAAGAATACTGGAGTGGGTTGCCATGCCCTCCTTCAGGGGATCTTCCTGACCCAGAGATCGACCCAATGCTCTATGGTAACATAAGTAAGAAGGAAATCCAAAAAAGAGAGGCTATGTATGCATACACACAGCTGATTCACTTTGCTGTATGGTAGAAACCAACACAACATTGTAAATAACTATATTCCAATTAAAAATTAATGCAAAAAACATATCCTAGAAATTTCTCTGAGAAGAAATAAAAAGTTCATATACAAAAGAATGAAAATCATATTTATTAGGAGACTTCTCACTGGCAACACCAGATTCCAAAAGAAGAAAATAAAAAGGCAAAGCCACTTAAGTACTGAAGAAAAATGTATCCCATACTCAAGGTATAACATTTTCAGACAGACAAGGACAAAGAAAATTAATTCCTACATACGCAACTTGGCCACCTGATGCAAAGAGCCACCAACTCAATGGAAAAGACCCATGTTGGAAAGACTGACGGCAAGAGGAGAACAGGGCGGCAGAGGATGAGATGGTCAGAGAGCATCACTGACTCAACGGACACGAATTTGAGCGAACTCCAAGAGACAGCGGAGGGCAGGGAGGCTGGCAGGCTCTAACCGCAGGGTCGGAAAGG